TGGTCAATAATTGGTCTACTGTAAGCTTTGTCCCTGTCTCTAAAGCTACCCACACTTTAAAGCTTTTACTTTAAGGCCAATTAATAATCAAATAAAGCAGAAAGACACAGAGAGTACCTTCATCTCCAAAGCACTTGTGTTATTGTTTAACGTTTGGCCACATGTTAATTTAAAATGTTTTGTCTGACAATTCTTGAAAGCTTCTGCATTACGTCCAAAAGTATTAAATGTGTCAAACAAGAAGGGTTTACCTGTCCTTGATGGTTGAAATAAGGAGAATAGGGAGAGAAGATCCTGCTTCAGATAATGATCTAAAACTGTGTACCAATCTGATTTAAGCCTCTTCTCGCAGTGATCTAAGATAGATGCTTGACTTGTAATTATAGGCTGTTGGAACATTTGAACACTTCAGTCATATACTTAAATAAGACACTCAGGTAACACTTTACAATAACCTTACTTAAAAATATATATTTGTAATGCTATAATTTATATTATGTTAACAGTTTATTGTTTCAAACATTACCACAATTTATACACTTTATAAAGTGTTTGTTAATAGTTACCCAAGGATTTGTAAACCGTCTTTTAACATTATTTGGATGGCTATTATAAAGTTGGAACTCAAGATCATAATAACACCTTATTAATACTTTGTAAAGCATCTACAAACCTGTATTAGACAGATAATTAATACTTCATCAATGGTTTATAGTTGGTTTGTAAACCATCTACAATCATTATCTGGATGGTTATTGTAAAGTTGGAACTGATGTTCTTAGAATCGTTTTTTTTATTGCCAAGTACATTTACACATACAAGGAATTTTTCTCTGTATTTTTGTGCAAAAACAGTTAACAAAGGAAATAAAGCAAAAATAGCAAGAACTTAAATAACACTAAAAAGGAGTAATTACAAATCTATACTAGAGTATATAAAAACACAAAATGTACAAAAAGTGCAGAATTAAAAGTCTAGTGAACTTCTCCACAAATGATCAATCAACTCAACAATACTCCATTAATTAACCAAATGCTTCAATTAGTCAGTCTGTTGCCAAGATTTCCTCCTAAATAATTGCAATGTGATATATACGAAGAAATACTGTAAGCCTATATGTGAAAACAAACTAAACATATATCAAAAATGTTGACTATAAATAAATGTATTCACATATAGAGAAATGCAGGTGTTTGTTGAAAGATGGTGTTTGTGGATAAAACCACACTGGCCTTGATCAAGCTGGATTCAGGATCCCTACGCCCTGTTATCTGCAAGCTCCCAATGTTTGTGAAGTAATGCCAGGTATCTCCTCATCTGCCCTTTGGACTGATCCAGTTCAGACACATTCCATCTCCTCCAGTTCTCGCACAACATAGTAAAAACAGAGAAGACAAAAGGGAAACAAAACAAAAGTTTAGTGTCTTAGAGTCACTCTGAATTCGTATACACAATGCAATAACAATTCAGTGAAATATGAACACATTATCTGTTTTTTTGGTTTTTTCTTCTATCTGTGGTAAAAGCTGTCTCCCTGCCGGGGGTGTGTTTTCCGGGAGGAGGAGGGGCTCGCTTTCTCTCCCCACTCCTCATCAAGAGGAGTAATCTAATTGGCTCTCTATTTGAGGCAATGCCCCTTGGACCGCCTCCTAAATTTCTCAAGGGCTTCCAGCCTAACCTGGCTGTCAAAGAGTTAACATCGTCTCCAAACCCAGTGCAGTTAATGCCGAGAGTCTACAGACACACAAAAATCACCACAGTATTTTCCCAATCAACAGCCAAATACAAAAAGTATCCTATGATAGTAAAAACTTCTCCACCTATTTTAAACAAGACTATACGTTCTTTTGAACAGACAAAATTCGCAGCATAATGTGGTAACACACAAACAGACAGAAAGAGAAGAAGAAAATTCACACTCCAATCAGCCGGCAGTTTGAACTTTATCAGGAATTTTTCTGTTCTTTTCTCTAATCTTGCGACCTGAATGTGTACAGACTGTCCTTGCTGGTCCACTTCTGTTAAAAAAACAGATACTATATATACTTATGTATAAACGTCCTTTATTAGGCTCATATGTATTTATCAGATTAAACAAACATCCTCTGAAGGGCTCATATTTTTATCAAAACGAATATATAAACGTCCCCTGAAACAAAGGCTCATGGGTTTTTTTTTAACACTGATGAAGCAAAAATTTCCCCTCTTATGAGTTACTAAAATCGTCTTTATCCAATCTCCTGCTATATATGCCTATTTAATAATACATCTATTCTATTTATCAATTCCACACATACAAGAACATTTCCGGATCACTTACACACATAGCTTCACAGATCTCTCAAAAACATCCACAAGACCCACAAGACACAAGCTGTCTTGCAACACACACATTCCAAGAACTCACACACATAGCCTGCTCCAAGGCTTCAAAAATTCCTCAGCCTCGCACACACAGACAAGCTGTACAGCGACACACATACACACAAGCTTCAACTAATAATCCTTCTAACTTTCTTACTTTGGCCAAAATTTTAACAAATTGTCTTTAACCAATTACTTCACACTGCATGCTTCAATGCACACATTTTTTCCTTTATTCAGCACTTTAATTTTTCCTCTTTTCTCAAAACTTTATTCCATTTTTATTTCATCTCTATTTTTTCATCTTCATTTTTCATCTTTTACTTCTCTTCTTTATTTGTCATCTTTATTTCCTCTCTGTATTTCCTACATTATACGTTTAATTCCAATTTCCCTGGCCAGGGATCCCCTTTGTTTTTTTGTTTTTTTTACTCAATTTGACTACTTCTTAAAGCCAACTTTCACTTCAGTGTCTAATTTACACATGACTTACTGTTAAGAGGATACGGGCCCTGTCCTTGTTAAACTTGCATAGTTTTTTAGCTAACTGGTCTCGTTACTCGTTGCGCTTATTAACATTAACTTACTTTCAACTTTATTCTCTTTTCTGTTATTTTATTTTTATCCCCTTCAGTCCCATTCTTTAGAGTTCATGGACTGAGCTGTGAGGCTCAGGGAGCTTTTGAATGTCACAGTTTTCAATAAGATTGAATTGAAATACGACAAGCTCTTCGTAGTTCTTTTTGGAAATTATTTCATTGATGCCATGGAATTTATGAAAAAGATCTTTTAAGGTCTTTTAAAAAGTGAATGTTCATTTTCTAAATTCAATTCCCTCTTTTTGTTATTGCAGGAAAGCGCGGCTTATTCCTCACAAAAGCTAAGGGATTAACTGGGCAAAAGGTTGCTTCTATACAGAGACAGGTGGTGTTTTGGGGTTCCCCTTACATAGTTAAATTAAACTATAGTTTAACATATTTACATTACATATTTGTAATGTTCATATATCCATTTTATGAAATTATGAGGTATAACAACAACTTAAAGGGCTTAAAATAAAATACTTATGAGGTTACAGACTGCTGTTTGGGATGGTGTTGTACTGGACAGTTACAATGAAAGGGGTTTTCTAAATGATTTGCTACTATGAGAAACATAATAACTGGACTGAAAAATAAAAACATTCAATGTTTTACAGTCCATTACAAAAACGAAGCACAGTCTCAGAATACAGAGGGGGGGGATGTCCGGGTGGTCTAGGATTTGCAGATACTGACCATTTAATCACAATATTACAAGAATGAGACCAGACACAGACCTTTGTTAGAGGAAAAGGACCACAGAATGATTGCAACACTATTGTATCATCTTCAGCGACTGGTTTAACCTTCTTGGTCATTCTTAGCAGATATCAAAGAATAAACTTGTAGCTCACGATCTGATAAGGTTTCATTGATAAAAAAAAAGCTAATCACACAGTTTGAGTGATCTGGTTGGTTTTCTATTGGATATTAATACTGATGACTGAAGGGTTCTTTTTCTCCCCTAGAAGACGAAAGCTCCTTAAAAAGTGATACTTGAAAATTGAAAGGGCTTGGAATCTCAGGTGATTTCACCCGGCTTCCATGTTGCTTAACAATTAGACAAGAACACTTTAGATAATGCAATATTGCATTATTTATCCCCACCCCCTCTGTTTTTCCACACCTTGTGAGCTGCCTACCTGTATTAAAACTCCACAGCCATCAGTCATCCGTCAGTCACAGTTGAAGAACAGTACATGCTTCTTTCAACATTATTTCTGTGAGTATTCCTTTAACTTTGCATTTATAAAACTAAATATTCTGTTTTAAAAAGTTAGTTAAAGATAAATTTCAACAACTGCTTCGTCTCGCCAACTAGCTCACAAGCTTGACTGGACACATTTTAGCCAGAGAGAGTACAAAAAGGCGGCATTTAACTGGCTTTCTCTTCTAATTTGGATTTAGCTAATATTAATATTTGATTAAATATTGTTAGGATTTGAAGCATTAAAGTTGTGTTTTAAGTCAGGCAAAGGCAATTCATGTGCCAACTTTGTACCATTTAAGTCAAATCAGACCTGACCTGATTTTCAATGGGATAAAAAACATAAAAGTAAGCTTATATCAAAGCAAATGCTTCACTAGCAACACAGATATGTAACTAGCAATGAAGTTAATTAAAAGATAAGAGAAGAAGTTGGCTGAAAATTCTTGCCTAACAAGTTTGTCTTCTGTGTCTTCCAGCTCAAACCTGTATTTACGGATCAGGTGTTGGAACAATACCTTGGGTGGCTACTGGGCATCATTCCCTTTCCACTCCCTAAATGTTTCCATTGAACAGGTGCTTAGTTTTGATTATTCTACTGGCTTTTGTCACCAAATGTTGCGACTAAGTAAAAGTTTAACCTACCTGTAAAATGATCTGCACTAGTAAGATTGCCTTTTATTTGTTGTGTTTTTATTTTCATGCTTGAGGTTATTTAGACCACATTTATTTTGTGGAAACACACATTCATCTCTAATTATAAATTCTACATTTATTTAAATGAATATATTTTTTCAACTGCATATTCATTCTTTTTTTCTATTTCAATTTATTCAAATAGCAACAAAATGTGGAAGCTAACTCTATCTGCAGGTAAGACATCCTGGTCAAGTATAAGTGTCTTTGAATGTTTGATTAAACTACATCTCCAAAAGTGTTAAGTGTACATGTGTATTGTCTCATGCAGGTAGTTTCTGTTAGGTAACCCCAAGTTATTTTCACTGAGAGGAATTTGTATTCATTTTACCTCCAATGTACTTAGAAATATCAGAAATGTCAGAAAACTTGAATTAATTAACTTGAAACAGTAAACTAGAACTTTTACCTGTAATGCATGAATTATTATGTCAGAAAGCCTGTTTGTATTGGTTGTTTTTTTATTTTATTAAACTGTATACGAACACATGTGTTCTTTTGAAGGTCTCTGTTTGATCCTTGCCAGCTTGGGTAAGTTCATCACACAAATTGATCACAATCATCACCTTTATAGCTGCATAGGACGATTTTTGTAGAAGAAATATAATATCCTTAAGTAAACAGATGTATGTAAGTAAGGACATTGAAATATTTGATCTATACAATAAATAATTAAAATAATCATGATTTTTCTTTCATGTCTATAGCTTCTACCTCCAGGCTGATGTGTTACTATAACAGCAAAGCAGCAGACAGACCAGCTATGGGGAAGTTCAGAGTTTCAGATATTGATCCAGACAAGTGCACCCATCTGATTTTTGGCTTTTCTGACATAATTGAAAATGAGCTGGTTCCCACAACTGTAAATGATGTTCAGCAGTACTTTGGGTTTAATGCACTCAAACAAAGGTCAGTCCTTAAATCTATAAATACTGTGGAGATTATATTGTAATACAAGAATGAATTATGAAAAATGCAAAAAAAATCATCATTTAAATGTTATGCTCCTGTAGAAATCCACTTCTGAAAACCCTGTTGGCTGTTGGTGGAGAGAAGTTTGGGACAGAAAAGTAAGTTACCTTCAAGGACATTAAGGCTTGTTTGGAAGGACACATATTACTAACAAACTGTTGTAATCCTCTGACGTCCAAATTGGCCTTGCCTTTTGTTGTAGTTTCAGCACTTTGTGCAAAAACAAGCAAATTCAAATTCGTTTTTAAGAGTTGGGAACTCTTGTTTTTTGCTTTAAATTCATTAAAATTGAATGCAACCCAGCTGACCCCTACAGCCAAATAATGAAAAAACGAAGTTTGTAATTCACTGAATCTTGTGCAATATGTATTTCAGACACTCAGGTCAGTGACTGCACATTATAATTATGGGGATTATTTTGCCACTTTTTTTGGCAGCATTTATTATATATAGGCTATGGAAAGCATGGTTGATAATACATTGGATCCACACTAAATATTGGTTTACACCTTATCTCATGTTTTGATTGCCTTGTTCTGTTTGAGCAGAGACCTTCATTGAATAGCTGGAGCGTGAGTCTAAAGACCAAGTTGTGTTTATATTTTTATTTTTGTATACTTACCAGATTCAGGACAATGGCGGGATCACAAAAGAACAGAGAAGTGTTCATCCAGTCTGTAATCAGACTACTCAGAGCATTCAATTTTGATGGGCTAGACGTAGACTGGAGGTACCCAGCTGAAGAGGACAAGCAGAGATTCACAGAGCTTTGCAAGGTCAGATCCTTAATATCTCCTCTGGAACCGGCATTTTCAGAAAAAAGCCATACTGCAAATGCCATGCATGAAATTATAAGTCATTTAACTGAGACTGAGAACCATGCTTCTGTGTTGTATAGGAGCTGGAAACAGCCTTTGTCGATGAAGGAACTTCAAGTAACCAGGAAAGATTAATCCTTGCAGCATCTGTCTCTGCTGAGAGGTCAACCATCGATGCTGGCTATGAAGTGGAAGAAATTGCCATGTAAAATAATTTTTAAGAAATCTCTGCCATAATAACAATAAAAAGCTTCTGTTCTGTTTTAGTAAAGGTGATTTCCTCTTAATTTATCAGGCACCTGGATTTCATCAACGTGTTGACGTTTGACTTCCACGGCCCCTGGGAAAGTGTCACAGCACATCACAGCCCCTTATTCCAGGGATCCCAAGACACTGGAGATGCGATCTACTCTAACACTGTAAGCAAGGGTTATTTTTTCAAACAGCTTTATATTCAAACATGTACCTGTATCCCATTTGTTTTGATCATTGGTCTTCCCTTCTTAGGCCTCTGCCTTAGAGTACTGGCGGGACCAGGGAGCACCTGAAGAAAAACTGAACATGGGGCTTGGAGCTTTTGGACGAGCTTTTTCCCTGTCCTCTAATTCAAGCGCTGTCGGTGCACCAGCCAGTGGTCCTGGTGAGGAAGGCTGCTACACCGGTGAAGAAGGATTCTGGGCCTCTTATGAGGTATTACTGCACGGTTTCAATATTACCCATTTATATTGATGGCTTTATTATTAGCCAACAGTTTTGGCTGTATTTTGTCTGACAGATATATATCCTTGTAATTATAATTACTTTTATTAGATCTAAATACCAAATCTGACCCTTCTTTTCAGACTTGCCTTTATCTAGATGGGGTACAAAACCATTTTATTTCTGATCAGAAAGTTCCATATGCCACAACAGAAAATCAGTGGGTTGGATTTGACGACACAACCAGTATAAATACCAAGGTAATCATCTGTCTTTAACACAGTATTACTTTTTAGTGGCTGCAAATGACTGATGTGATTGATGTACAAAATTCTGTTAAATTGATTTTTTATACAGACTGTTGAAATGTTGTCTTTCTCATCCTCTCAGATCAATTACCTCAAAGCAAACAAATTCGGAGGGGCCTTTGTCTGGTCTCTGGACCTGGATGACTTCAGAGGAGAGTTCTGTAACCAGGGAAAGTGCCCATTCGTTACCCAACTGCATAATCTGCTTGTACCAGGTAAATCAATCATCAAAATATGTGCTTTTTTATGAGGTAAAGGTTTCACAATTTATTTAATTAAATACCATTAGCAATGAAAAATTCTATATACCACTGTTTTATACTTCTATAACTTTAATATCTAGAACACATCTAGTTCAGATTCAAGGAATCTCAAAAGTCATGCTCTGTCATATCACAATATGATGATCAAGCAAGGGTTAAGATCAATAAAAACAATATCTGACTGTCTTTCTTTCAGGTTTCCCTGAATCACCTACCACATCTCCCCCTACAACAACCACAGCTGCCCCTACTGCAACCACAGCTGCCCCTACTGCAACCACAGCTGCCCCTACTGCAACCACAGCTGCCCCTACTGCAATCACAGCTGCCCCTACTGCAACCACAGCTGCCCCTACTGCAATCACAGCTGCCCCTACTGCAACCACAGCTGCCCTACTACAACCACAGCTGCCCCTACTACAACCACAGCTGCCCGCTGCAACCACAGCTGCCCCGACAACAACCACAGCTGCCCCGACTACAACCACAGCTGCCCCGACTACAACCACAGCTGCCCCAACAACAACCACAGCTGCCCCTACAACAACCACAGCTGCCCCTACAACCACAGCTGCCCCTACAACAACCACAGCTGCCCCAACTACAACCACAGCTGCCCCTACAACAACCACGGCTGCCCCGACTACAACCACAGCTGCCCCAACTACAACCACAGCTGCCCCAACTACAACCACAGCTGCCCCTACTACAACCACAGCTGCCCCAACAACAACCACAGCTGCCCCTACTACAACCACGGCTGCCCCTACTACAACCACAGCTGCCCCTACTACAACCACAGCTGCCCCTACTACAACCACAGCTGCCCCTACAACAACCACAGCTGCCCCTACTACAACCACAGCTGCCCCAACTACAACCACAGCTGCCCCAACAACAACCACAGCTGCCCCAACTACAACCACAGCTGCCCCAACTACAACCACAGCTGCCCCTACTACAACCACAGCTGCCCCAACAACAACCACAGCTGCCCCAACAACAACCACAGCTGCCCAACAACAACCACAGCTGCCCCAACAACAACCACAGCTGCCGCAACAACAACCACAGCTGCCCCAACAACAACCACAGCTGCCCCGACTACAACCACAGCTGCCCCAACTACAACCACAGCTGCCCCGACTACAACCACAGCTGCCCCTACTACAACCACAGCTGCCCCAACAACAACCACAGCTGCCCCTACTACAACCACAGCTGCCCCTACAACAACCACAGCTGCCCCAACAACAACCACAGCTGCCCCTACAACAACCACAGCTGCCCCTACAACAACCACAGCTGCCCCTACTACAACCACAGCTGCCCCTACTACAACCACAGCTGCCCCTACTACAACCACAGCTGCCCCTACTACAACCACAGCTGCCCCTACTACAACCACAGCTGCCCCAACAACAACCACAGCTGCCCCTACTACAACCACAGCTGCCCCTACTACAACCACAGCTGCCCCAACAACAACCACAGCTGCCCCACTACAACCACAGCTGCCCCAACAACAACCACAGCTGCCCCAACTACAACCACAGCTGCCCCGACTACAACCACAGCTGCCCCAACAACAACCACAGCTGCCCCGACTACAACCACAGCTGCCCCTACAACAACCACAGCTGCCCCAACTACAACCACAGCTGCCCCAACAACAACCACAGCTGCCCCTACTACAACCACAGCTGCCCCACAACAACCACAGCTGCCCCAACAACAACCACAGCTGCCCCTACTACAACCACAGCTGCCCCAACAACAACCACAGCTGCCCCTACTACAACCACAGCTGCCCCGACAACAACCACAGCTGCCCCAACAACAACCACAGCTGCCCCTACTACAACCACAGCTGCCCCTACAACAACCACAGCTGCCCCTACTACAACCACAGCTGCCCCTACAACAACCACAGCTGCCCCTACTACAACCACAGCTGCCCCTACAACAACCACAGCTGCCCCTACTACAACCACAGCTGCCCCAACAACAACCACAGCTGCCCCTACTACAACCACAGCTGCCCCAACAACAACCACAGCTGCCCCTACTACAACCACAGCTGCCCCTACTACAACCACAGCTGCCCCAACAACAACCACAGCTGCCCCTACTACAACCACAGCTGCCCCTACTACAACCACAGCTGCCCCAACAACAACCACAGCTGCCCCTACTACAACCACAGCTGCCCCAACAACAACCACAGCTGCCCCTACTACAACCACAGCTGCCCCAACACAACCACAGCTGCCCCTACTACAACCACAGCTCCCCCAACAACAACCACAGCTGCCCCTACTACAACCACAGCTGCCCCAACAACAACCACAGCTGCCCCAACTACAACCACAGCTGCCCCTACTACAACCACAGCTGCCCCTACTACAACCACAGCTGCCCCAACAACAACCACAGCTGCCCCTACTACAACCACAGCTGCCCCTACTACAACCACAGCTGCCCCAACTACAACCACAGCTGCCCCTACTACAACCACAGCTGCCCCTACAACAACCACAGCTGCCCCTACTACAACCACAGCTGCCCCAACAACAACCACAGCTGCCCCTACTACAACCACAGCTGCCCCAACAACAACCACAGCTGCCCCTACTACAACCACAGCTGCCCCAACAACAACCACAGCTGCCCCAACAACAACCACAGCTGCCCCACTACAACCACAGCTGCCCCAACAACAACCACAGCTGCCCCAACAACAACCACAGCTGCCCCTACTACAACCACAGCTGCCCCAACAACAACCACAGCTGCCCCTACTACAACCACAGCTGCCCCTACTACAACCACAGCTGCCCCTACAACAACCACAGCTGCCCCTACTACAACCACAGCTGCCCCAACAACAACCACAGCTGCCCCTACTACAACCACAGCTGCCCCAACAACAACCACAGCTGCCCCTACAACAACCACAGCTGCCCCTACAACAACCACAGCTGCCCCTACTACAACCACAGCTGCCCCAACAACAACCACAGCTGCCCCTACTACAACCACAGCTGCCCCAACAACAACCACAGCTGCCCCAACAACAACCACAGCTGCCCCAACTACAACCACAGCTGCCCCTACTACAACCACAGCTGCCCCAACAACAACCACAGCTGCCCCTACTACAACCACAGCTGCCCCAACAACAACCACAGCTGCCCCAACAACAACCACAGCTGCCCCTACTACAACCACAGCTGCCCCTACAACAACCACAGCTGCCCCAACAACAACCACAGCTGCCCCTAACAACCACAGCTGCCCCTACTACAACCACAGCTGCCCCTACAACAACCACAGCTGCCCCTACTACAACCACAGCTGCCCCTACAACAACCACAGCTGCCCCTACTACAACCACAGCTGCCCCAACAACAACCACAGCTGCCCCAACAACAACCACAGCTGCCCCACTACAACCACAGCTGCCCCTACAACAACCACAGCTGCCCCGACTACAACCACAGCTGCCCCTACTACAACCACAGCTGCCCCTACAACAACCACAGCTGCCCCTACAACAACCACAGCTGCCCCTACAACAACCACAGCTGCCCCTACAACAACCACAGCTGCCCCTACTACAACCACAGCTGCCCCTACAACAACCACAGCTGCCCCTACTACAACCACAGCTGCCCCAACAACAACCACAGCTGCCCCAACAACAACCACAGCTGCCCCTACTACAACCACAGCTGCCCCTACTACAACCACAGCTGCCCCTACAACAACCACAGCTGCCCCTACTACAACCACAGCTGCCCCAACAACAACCACAGCTGCCCCTACAACAACCACAGCTGCCCCTACAACAACCACAGCTGCCCCAACAACAACCACAGCTCTTCCTACAACAACCACAGCTGCCCCAACAACAACCACAGCATCAGGCTCTGTAGTGTGTTCAGGGCCAGGGCATGTCCCCGACCCCAGTGATCCACAATGTTACTACAACTGTGACAATTTTGGTGTAGCTCATCACACATGTTGCGGAGGTAATTTGGTCTTTAAAAACCAAGTCTGTTCATTTCCCTGAAGGGTTTTACATGAATGAAGTCAACACACATATATGGGTTGACCTTTTAAAAACGATTTCTTTGTAAAATATCTTTGTTGAATATAAAGAAAAATGCTCAAAATTGGTAATTCATACCTTTTGTAAGGCTTTGGTGATCTGTACTTTACAAAATATTTTGAAAAGATTCAATCGATTTTGTTTCCTCCTTTTTGTTGACAAGCAAACAAACGTGATAACATGTATAACATTTTTAGCACCATGTGTTCACTTGAAGAGTGGTCCCACTCTTCCATTCATGTCTCTCAATACATAGCATAATATTTATATTACTTTATTCAGAAACACATGACTAAGTGTGTGTATCTTAACCAGTTAGGTGTGTATATTCTCTCTTTTCACCGCAATTATTTATTTTGACAATAAATTATAATAATAATAATATGTCTGTTGCATCAGTTCTCCATTGTTGTTTCATACTGTAGTTCAGGGATGTCAGACATACGGCCCCCCGTATCTGGCCCGACAGCAGGTTTCATACGGCCCGCGAGCCGTTTTGGGAAGAAGGAGGAAATGTATTGAAAAATATTTTGAGATTTTTTATAAATTAAATATTTGTAATACGTATTTTCCCCGAATTGTATTAAAAGCTATGTAAAATGAGCAACGTAAAGGTCGATATCATGATACGAATATGAATTAAACGGGGCACTTTGAATTATCTTCCCAGCAGGGAGTAATCATACAAAAGACGAGTGGCCGAGCGCACGAGCTGCTCCTGCATTATGCTGGTAATACATCACATCAGATAACACTTGAGAGAGGTGACACAGAATGCAGGTTTTCAAGAGAGATCGAAGGAGCGATATTTCTTTAGTTTTATTTGGTCACAAGTTGC